TACAACATTTTATTTTGATCCAATGAAAGCCCTTACTTACGATTCTCTACTTCCCATCAGAAAGAAAAGAAAAATGCGAAAGAAAAGTAAATGCGATGTGTATGTTGAAAATTAATTTTGGCACAAAAAAATTGTGGAGAACTCTGCTGCATGTTAATTATTGCTCTAAAATGAGCTTTGGTGACAAATAGGTGCCCTGAATTTTATATTCGGCACACCGGGGCCAAGCATGAGCAAATGTATGTTAAGTGCTTATGGTTCCGAGAACAGGAAATGCAGAAAAAGACTCTTCCTTTGCCGCTGTGTATAGACCCTCTGAACAAAACGAGGATCCACACAGGCGGAAAGACAAGAATGGTTAGGAAGCAGGGCCTGCGGGGTCCACGTCGAGTGCTGCGTGTCTTCTGTGGGCCCATCTAGAGAAAGGAGGGTAGACAGGTGCTTCTGCTTATTTGCACACGTGTGTGCTCATGGCCGCTCTGTCACTCGGCTGTATCAGGTTCCTGTTGCTGCTGTGATGAAGTGTGAACTCCGCAGCTTCAGGCAGCCCCATCTCCTACCCCACAGCTTCCGTGGGTCGGAACCCGGGCACAGCTGTGTGTGTGTCTCGCGGTTCTCTGCTTAGTCCCACGGGATGAAATCCGTGTGCCCACCGGGCTGTGCTCGCTGCTGGAGGCTCTGAGACAAATCCGCTTCCGAGGTCCTTCGAGTGAGGTCCCCTTTCCATGCTGGCTGGTAGCCGGGGGTGGTCCTCGGGTTCCAGAGGCCCCGTTCCTTGGCTTCCGGCCCCTTCCTCCCCCTTCAGAGCCAGCGGCGTGGGTGGGGCCCCTCCGACCCTCGACAACTCTGCTACCTCTCTCTCTTCTGTGACTGCATCCTGGATGATCTTGGATCAGCCAGGATCATCTCCATATTTTAAAGTCAGCCGATTAACAAACTTAATCCCATCACTAATCTACATCCCTCCCAGCAGCATGTAGATTAGTGTTCCTTGGAGAAAGCCCATGTGTGAAAGTCTTGGGGGACATTTTTAGAACTCTGCGTACCTCCCCCCGCCACCACACACGCACAGCGACAGCGAAATAACCAAATTCAAGGGTCCCCTGAGGGCCCGTTTGCCGCCAAGGGACTTTTCCGTTTCAGAGGCAGCATG